AGCACTCTTCTGAAAAGGGAGGCGGGAGCACCAGCTCATTTTCATTTAAAGGGGACAAACACAAAAAACAGCACGTTTTGGCTCATGCCCTAAAAGTGGCAATTTCAACAAGCTATAAAAAATATCTGTGGGGTATTTTGAGATAAAACTTCACATACACACATTCACAAAAATATTGTATCGATGCATTCTATGGCACCTTTAAGCAAAAATATCACGGTTTCACGGTATCACGGTATTGTCGTTAAAGCTCTAAAATGTGTTATTTTGAAATGACTGGGTAAAAAAAAAAACTTTTTTCCGTTGAACACTATATTTTGTTTTGAGCAACATACAGAATATTAGGAAGGAACAGTAGAATTTGCTTATTTTTTTCTTTGATTTGTTTCCTAAAAAGAAGAAAAATAAAGACTGACATCTTTATTTAACCTAAATCTGTAATTAGTCATTTAATTTAGTTATATAATTCATATAATTTAGTTATATAATTTCATATACATAATTTGATTTAATTTGATTTAAGCAAAAACAGAATGTTCTGACTAGCTTTGTGAAATTATACTACATGCCTGAATGAAAATAAAACGTCCGGGCCGGCAATATCGTGTCTTTTTGAATTGAAATCTAGATTCATTGGCCCATGGAAACCTCTATGAACACACTTGACTTGGCCAAAAAAAATCACGGGGGACGAATTTACGTTTTATTAAAAAGTGTTTTCGTATTCTACACTCATGGAGCGCACACACATTAGGATAGGTTAGATGCCTGCGAGTCCCTATCAAGCACTTTACAGATTCAACTACTCTCTTCTTCGCCTCCTGCCTTGCTCTTTGGCCCACATAACTTTACCGCAGAGCAAGCCTTTTCTTGATAATGCTGCTGTGAAAACGTGGGAAAAGCCGATGAGGAAGAAGTTGGGGTGAAGCGATCTTTATATAGGCAGAGCAAAGTACTTCATCGCTCCGTCTATAGCGCATTGTGATTGTATGGTTTACGCTGTCAATATAGGAGACAAACCAATGGGCCACTGGCTGCTCGCTGTCCCTGTGTGATGGTCCTTGGCAAAAAAAACACATTCTGTCGGCCCCTTAAGTGCGTCGGCCCACCGGGAAAATGCCTGGTATGCCTGATTACCAATCCAGCCCTGGCTATAGGCTACGAATTAAATAAACACACATTTGTTTTCGATTGTTTTATTTAAGTAGACCTTTAGACATAACAAGTTGCGCCAGAAAGCGCTCCCTGTTATTTTACAAAAGCAATTTGTAACGTTTTGTTGTTATTGTGGAAGTATAGAAAATAAAGCAGACATTTCTTTCCTCTGTTATCGTGTAGCCTAATGGATCTCGCC